GAGGGAGGGGTCCGGGCCGGTCTCCCTGCCCACACGGCCGCCGGCTGGGAGGGGGGGAGGGATGAGGGCTGGGCTGGGAGCGCCTCCCCGCGCCCCTGCCCGATGTCTCAACCTGAGCCGCCTGCAGCCTCCGCCGAGGCTGCAGGGGGAGATCGTCCAGCCTCTGCGGATCCTGCGTCTGCAGCGAGGATTCCGGGGAGCAGCCCCGTGTGCCCAAGCGGCCGCTGCTTCCCCCCGTGTCCCTCCCTGAAATACACAACTGCAGCGCGCTGCCCCACGCCCGGCGGCACCCCTGCAGCTGGCCGCGGCGGCGCTCTGAAAAGCCCCATCCGCCAGCCTCCGTGCAGCAGGGGAGCTGGATCACCAGAGGATGTTAGCCTGGGCTTTTTCTCCCCTTCCGTTCCCAGGCGTGGTGGAATCTGCATCTTGTGTTCTCCACCCCCTCCCCCCCGCGCCCCGAAGCGTAGTTCTTCTGAGGGGCGCCCCAGCCCAGACCTGTGCCCCCTAAGGGAACCCTACAAACGGCTTAGTCTTGCTTGCTTGTCACGGCCTCCACCATGCATCTGTTGCCCAAACCTCTCATTTCCAAGATTCATTTCCAAGCCCAAGGAAGCTTAGTTTATTTGTATTAAAGGGATACGAAGCAAACGCATTAGATTCCTTGCTGTACAATGGCTTTCTACTTCATGAATTCTTGAGATCGGGTGTCCTGATTTCGGTTAGCTTTGTTTCATGTTATCATTTACTCTGCTAAGGGATTAAATATGAGTACTGTACTGTATTTTGATAATGACAGGCTATGTTCGAGCAGGTGGGATTTGGTCAACTATCTCATAAACCACAGGATCCCTTCCCAAGCCCCAGTACATTTGTGACGAATGCTTTCTAAAATAAAAATAAACCATGTTAATAATTATTTAACATAACAATGTTGGGCAGACTCCCCAAATCAACATACAAATAGCATTTCCTCGATTAGCAGGGCATTTGAGAAAGGGAAGGGAAAGAGTACAGTATACTTTTCAAGACAAAGAATTTTTAAAATTCAGCACTAAATAGAACTATGTCCTGAAATGACCCAAGACACTTTATTAATATAATGAGCTTTTCAAACTCCTTGCACTTACCCAGAAGGCAAGCACTCAGCCACTCAGATTTCCAACTGCATTTATAGCACTTTATTCTGATGAAATCGCTCATCAAAATGACTTTTTTTTTTGGTCAGGCAGGAGTGCGGTGGCACAATCACAGCTCACCGCAGCCTCGACCTCCTGGGCTTAGGCTGTCCTTCTGCCTCAGCCTCCCAAGTAGTGGGACTACAGGTATGTGCCATGCCATCATGCCCAACTAATTTTTTAATTTTTTTGTAGTGAGTAGGTCTCATGTGTGCTCAGGCTCTCAAACTCCTGGGTTCAAGCAATCCTCCCACCTCTGACTCCCAAAGTGCTGGAGACTACAGGTGTGAGCCACTGGGATTATAGGCATGAGCCACTGGGCCTCAGATTGATTTCTTTTTAATTCATATGCACACTGGAACTTATGAGTGAATTTTCTTTCCCCTGCACTTTGAATGTATGAATTGCAGGTAAACTAGTACCCAATGGTTATACCTGGAAACAAATGTTACATCTGAAAGCAAATTGAATACTCATGCCCACCTGGTCTGGCACTGCCCAGACCTAAGAGGGCAGTGAATAAACACAGAGCCTTGGAATTCATGATCCCACAGGCTCTCAAGGCAGGGCATGTTCCCACCTGGCATCATCCCTTACCAGCTTTAAGACCTACAGCAAGCTATTAACCTTAATAACCTTAGCTTCTTCAACTGTAAAATGGGAATACTAGTTACACTTACTTCCTACAGTTGTTGGAGAGAGTAAATGTGTCTTGCACAGAGTTAACACTTCATTAAATTTCAGCTATATCGACTTGTTATTATGCACATTTAGTGACTCCAGAATAGAAACCTTTTTAAGTTAAATACATTTTTGTATTTGTGGTTTAGAGGGCGTATCACTTTTGAACACCAATGGTAACTATTTGAGGATTGGCAAGTTGAGGACATTTAAAATCAGCTGCAATAAGCAAACATGCTATTCTGCATTGTTACTCAAACGTGTAGATTCTCTCTGTTGACTTGATAAAAGAAATCTTAACTGGCTTTTAAAATTTTTAGTATTCCTGCCAGGCATGGTGGCTCAGGCCTGTAACCTCAGCACTTTGGGAGGCGGAGGCAAGAGGATTGCCTGGGTCCAGGGGTTCAAGACCAGCCTGGATCACTTGGTGAGACCTCATCTCTACAATAAATGAAACAATTAGCTGGGTGTGGTGATGCCCACCTGTAGTTCCAGCTACTTGGAAGGCTGAGGTGCAAGGATCGCCTGAGCCCAGCAGGTGGAGGCTGCGGTGG